CAACCCTCCCCAGCCACTCTCCCCTTACACACACTCAGTCCCCCACAAAACCCATACCCACCCACAGCCCCCATACCTATCCACCCCCCAACAAATCCCACACACATACACACACACACCTTCCCCCTCACCCCACAAACCCATACCCACCCTCACACAATATACAAGAGTAAGACTTCATTTTAAGCTACTATACTATCACCTCTGTACACTACACAAATGCAAGTAAATCAGGACAAAAGTATTTTTCTGAAATGAAATTAATTAATGTTGTAGTACATGTTTGATTTTTAGAACAAAATTTGGTATATTTCTGGTTCAGAGATGGCAAAACCCCTTGCTGAAAGGAGTAATTCTGGGGGGCAAGGGGAAGGACTTCTGGTGGCAAAGGTTAGGGGGCAGGCCTTCCAGTCCCAAGACGGTGATCAGGGGGTGGGGCACCTGTCAATGGGCGGAGCCACCCACGTGGCCCTCGATGGCTTGCTGAAACTTAGTAAGCGCCCTCCGCCCAAAATACTTGCCCGCCCCTGCCTTATGCATTATTTCCATCACTTACCCAGCTGCTCTTGTTCCATGGCCAGCTTCAGTTGCTCAGGTATTCCCATCCCAGGGATTACTGCAAGGCTGTTGGGCTCAAGGTCATCTAGAGATGGAACACAAATGGATATCATCTAAGTTTTACATTGGAAATGGTTTTCCTGGAAGTTGTCTTATTATCTTCTGGTTTCCCCACATTTTTTATCCAACTGATTTGCTTACACATTTCACATTTTGCTGGGTAATAATTTATCCCACTCATGAACTGCAAGGTATTAAAATAAAGGCTAAAAAATTGTAAAACCACCCAAAACACCAGAAAACATGTCACTTCAGCAAAACTATGTCTGAGCTGGACACCAGGGAAGGAAACATTTTTCCCCAATGCTTTGTACTATAATAAGTACAGAAAAAATAATTCAGGGGAAATGCTATTCTAAGAACATTATGGAGCACAAACAGCATGTAATCAATGATCTGAATAACAGATAGGGACACCACCCTGAAGCAGAAGGGGAGCTGCTGCATGCTGTGGAGTGGGGCAACCCTTAAAGGTCTGACACTGCTAAGCAAAATAATTAGAAGGGGAAAAAGCTTAAGATAAAGGACTTCTGAGGCAGGTTCAATAATTTCAAAGGTTTTCCTGTGCTCTGTAGCTCAGGACTGTGAGAGGTCTTGAAGTCACATGTTGAAGTTTTCAGGAGGCAGAACAAACTGGGGATTTTCCCAGAGGGAGAGCCAAACCTCCTTCCTGTGATTGACAGAGCTGGTCCTACCTCCTGGAGCTGCAGAACAAAAGAAAACTCATTGTTGGAATGGTGACCCTGGATCATAGAGAATGAGATCATCCCAGTAAAAAAAAAAAAAAAATAAAAAAAAAAATACTATCTAACCAATCACCAAACCAATCCTATATTATTTCATCATGCTGCCCAGGAGCTGAAATCTAACTAAACCTAAATGTTCTAGGCTTATTTTTGACACCAACCCTCTATTCTTCTGTATTCATGGCAATACCCTTACCATATTCCACTCCATCCTCCGACATTCCGGGCAGTAGGTTCAGGTTGTAGCGATCGCGCATTTTATCTCCAGGCCGATTCCTAGTCCAGAACTTGCTGTCAAAATGAAATGAAAAGAAGTGTAATATGAAATCTCTGAAAAGATAAGGAGATAACTACTGCTTGTCATCAGGATCTCCCTTTCTCCTTACTTTTGCATTCTATTACAATACCTTGATTATTTAGTAGGGGTGTGTGAAGCAGGCCCTATTCAATTTGGCCTAATTTGGCCCAAATCAGGGACAGTGATTTGATTAATTGATTCAGATCGCTGTCCCTGATTCGATTTGGCTGAATCCATATCTGAAGATTCGATGCTGATCTGGACATAGACACAGCTTTAAATGTTTTTTCTACATACCTCGAGGTACCAGTGCAGCTCGTGAATGCTGCGATGCTGGGGTGGAAGTAGTGTCCCACAGGAGTGTGGGGGGGCCCTCAAGCACGCTCCCCAGCAGACCCCGAAGTGGACCAGAAGTGCTTCTGGTCCACTTCGGGGTCTGCTGCCGAGCGCTTTGGGGAGCCCCCTGCACTCCTGAGGGACACTCCTTCCACCCCAGCATCACAGCATTCACGAGCCCCTGCTACCTAGAGGTATGTAGAAAAAACATTTAAAGCCGTGTCTATGTCCAAATCTCCAAATCTTTCTGAATCTCTCTGAATCAATTCAGAGCGATTAAAGGGTTCTCTGATTTGATTCAGGTTCAAAGATTCAGCCACCGAATTAGGTCAAATCTCCACCAAATCGAATTAGGGACCAAAGCTTCACACAGCCCTGCTATTTAGGTATTTAGGAAGCCTTACTCATCAGGCTTCAAAATGGACTTAAATACCAGGTATGTGGTGATTACATAGTAGGACTCATCTCACATTGAGCTAGTGATCAAGAATCAAAAGACACTTCATAGAGAACAGCTGTGAGAACTGCCAGACTTGCTCCACTGATAGGATGAAACTAAGACTACCATACATCCATCCTCTCCAATAAAACCCAATCAAATTTACCCTTCACAGACACTGATAGGATATCATTCTTGGAAATATGAACTTCTATGCCCAGAAATGCATGCCATTTATAAAATATGACTATTATTCCCTGAACCCCATGTTTTCATCCAAAACAGATTAATTTATTTCCTGCTTACAAGTCCTCTCTGCTTCAGAATTTTTGTCGAAGACTAAAGAAAGCCCCTTCAAAAGCTCCATGGGACACTGTATAATGACTACAAAGACATGTTAGCTCCTCTTTTTTTTTTTTTTTTTTAAACATATCCTCCAAAAGGACTTGGAGAGCAGACTTTCAGGGTGTGTCTACACTATCAAAGAACTGAGATGGGGACAGCTGCAATGAAACAGTAGGCCAGCCCGTCATGAGCTACATCCTAAAACACAAGTAACGTAAGCTGGGTGTCTTGGGTGCACATATATGTCTGTGTTAAGTATCCCACTAAGGTACATTATTTTTCAGAAGGAGACTAAACAGAGCAGATGTGCCGTGCTTCACCGTGATATACCCTAACTCAGTCCCTTGATGGCATAGATGTGCCCTAATTCTACTGTCATGTGTGAAAGGTAAGACCTTTTCCCATAAAACACCTTAATCACCTTGCAACTTTGCTTTGCCAACTGGTTCTATAGCAGGAACAATTTGGATTTATTGATCTTTTCTCTCTCACAGTTAGGAATTGGGAAAGAACATGTATTAGAATTCCCTGAAATCTTTAAGCACTTGAAAATACCTAGTGTGATCATTTGAGCCTGAGCAGAGAATATGTCCAAGAGGATGCCAAGCCAGACTCCAGATCATTCCCTCATGGGCCATTTCCATTCCACCAACTTCCTTCTCAACCCTAGAGCACGAAAAATCAGTTATCACATAAAACTTTGCCACATACAATGTAAGAGATTTTTGTTGTAGAAAACTACAAGCAACTGAACAACAAGATGCTCATTTTATTTATCAGTTAATTTTCAAGTGTGGCTCTTCTTTCTGAGACTCCCAGGAAAGAAACATCGAAGATTTTTTTAAACAAAATTTTTTTTAAAAGGCTCCAATATAGGCTGTAAACTTCATCCTTTTTATCTTCACCTTTATAAGAGTGAAATGGAAATTCTTCTTATAAGGACTGTTTATCTGACCATGGCAAAATGCATCTCTGAAAAAATTACCAGAGTATACCTAAACTACTGAGCTCAAGCACTCAAGCTAGGGACAGACATTCAAAAGCCTGAGCCTGAAATGATTCAATCTTTGCAGGTTAGTCTAACCTGGCTAGGCTGAACCAGTTTGTAATCATGCAGACATCCCTTCTGGACTTAAGAAATGCAGGCAACATGCCTGCAGTGGCTCAGGCTAGAAACTGAAAGAGTGTTACAGCAGCCCTCCCTTCCCTTCCACAATGCTAAGGGGGTGGGGGAGGGGTGTGGCCAGGCCCAGCAGGACACACTGATTAGGGAGGGGTTCCCCCTCCTTGCTGACCTTCGAGGGAGCCAGCAGGGAGTTGATAACAGAGCACTGAGTTACACAGCAGGGAGTTACACAGGGAGTTGATAACAGAGCATTTATCAGCCCATCAAGAAAACAAAAACCTCTCTCATTAGTTCAAGTTCTTCTTAAACAATGTTTTCCCAAGGAAGGAACGGAGGGACATTACCAGCTGAGCTGTTGATTTGCTCCAAAAAGCCCTAAGCAGACACTGTCCAGTTTGCTTTTGTCCTCTCTGCCTTATACAGACACTTCTCAGCATTAGCTAGCATACCACATGCTGGCTACAGTCTGTGCTGTGGGAGAGGAGAGGGGGAATCCCTGGTTGAGCGGGGGAGGTGGGGAGAGAGATGGGACAGGAGGAAGCCAGGCAGACCCTGCTGTGGCTGCAGTCTGCCAGAACTCAAGCCAAGGAGCAGAGGGGCAGGACCAGCCCTGCTCTGGAGCAGACAGCCCAGCCCCACCCAGGGCTACAAAGCATCCAGGATGCTGAGGACTCTGGTTTTACGTTATACCAGGAAGGGATCTGGGACAGACATTGCATAAACTGGTTTGACCCAAATCCGTTAAGTCTGATACTACATTCAACCAGGTTGATCTCAAACTGGTTTCAGCCATTTTAAAACTGGTTTATGTGTGCTGAACATCTGTTCTGTTACAGGTTTAAACCAGTTTCTGATCACTTAAATTGGTTTATGTGTAATGTCTGTCCTTAGCCTCAGAGAGAGATATGGTGTATTTTACAATATGCACACAATAACATTGCCAATGAACAGGATATATCTAGAAGCATCTGAACTGCATCTCTCCATCATGCTAGTGAAAATGCCACTTACCCAACATGCCAGAACAACAAAGAGCCATCAGATCCTCCACTTGCAAAAAGTCCTTCGTGAACAGGATGCCAGGCTACAGCTGAAATACAAAAAAATCACAATAAGAAAATACAATGCTAGAATCTGCAGTAAGTGTTAAACAGCCTTAAACAAGTATTCTTTTCACCTTAATTTAATTAACTGAAAACAAAAGTCTCTATTATTTTTTTGTATTTACTTATGCAATTTATAGTGTATTACAATGCCTTCTGACCTGTGGCCTCTTTCTTATGACCCCTGAAGACCTGGAGCTCTTCTTTCAGGTTTCGAATGTCAAAGAGTTTGCACAGGTGGTCACGAGAAGCTGTGAGCAGCCAATTGCCATTGAGGTTCAACTTTACCTCCATCACTGTGTTTTTATGAGCATGTCTGGAAGCACAGGTAGATAAAGATGAATGGGCTAGAAATCAGACCCCACATCATAATCTCTCTCTCAAAAACATCCAGATCCAAAGTTAAGGGCCTGAGACAGACTAGCAGAGTAAAGAAGATGACAAATCTGATCAAAAGTTTGATGTTCTGTTCGCAGCATTAACAAGAGCTGGTAGCAAACACTGTGCCAGTGCATGTAACTACTGTGCAGCTATACTTCTTATTACTCTCTGGTAGTAATTCCTACTGATTGGTCAGGTATAGCATTAACTAGGCAAAGTCACTCACTTCAGCGCTCTGAATGAGAAATGTGGGGACATAAGGCTTGTGAACAAAGGCAGGATAAACAAACATTTCATAAAATTCTCAACTCAATCTCTGCCTTGCCTTTGGAGTTTCTGACCCAGCCAGAAAGCTTGCCTCCATTTATCCAGGGTTGAACAGAACTCAGCCCTCAATAGGGACCAAGCTAAAAACAAAATAAAATAATCAAAATTCTATGCAGCTTTTGCCTTTTTTGATATGGGCACAATTCAGATCATAACTTACAGTGTGGCAAGGCTCTGCCCAGTCTTTGGATCCCAAAACTTGATTGGCTGTTGGCTGTCTTTACTTCCTGATACAACCAACCCCTTTGTTGGATGCCAGTCAACACACTTCACATCTGCCCCATGCCCTGTTGGAAACAAAGTCACTCTGATTTAGAGATTTTAGTAGTGAAACATCTATCAATTTGTGAATGTGGCATGAATTTAGGACACTTTTAAAATAGTTTTTTTCACTAGTTATTTGTACTGGGTCATGTTTCTTCTTACAAATCATTTGAAACAGTTTCCTGCTCAGATTTCATCCTCTGAATTAGAAAACACAAATATGATTCCACTTACCTAAAAAAACTCTGAAGTTTCAGCAGGACTTGGTATTCTGAGCCATAGGTCCTAAACTACCATATGAATACCAATACCAAATATTGATAATCACTTTGGAAGGATTTGCTTTGTATGGGTAAGGCAAAATACATGCCCAAATTATTTTACTTCAGCAAAATATTTTGGGAAAGACCCTACATATAAGTAAGCTGCAAAACAACTTTTGCAGGAAATAAGCAGATGAAATGAAACTACAGGATTATGTACCAAGACATTTTTTACTTGATAAATTGATGTTTCAAAGTTCTTTAAGCAAGTCCAAACTACAAATTCATTTTTTAAAGCAGTAAATAGAGTAAGAAAAAAAAATTAAACTCATGGCAGCAACCCTTTAAAGGGAGTGGCTTAACTTGTCAGAGAATGTATGTTGCTTGGGATGTCTAAGTCTCGCAATTAGAAAAACATTTTCATCTTTGTTATATATACTAACATGGTGAAATGTCTAGGTTGGAACTACAGGACTTGGAAAAGAATTAAGATGTAAAAAATAATGTATTTTTCCAATCTCTTTCCATGCTAACTCACTTCCATTCAATGCTAGAAAAACCAGTAGTGCAAACACATAGGAGAAAGGAAAGTAAGTGTGCATGTGAGAGTGCGAGAAAGTGCAAGCAGCAGCAGCAACTTAAGGGATGGAGAAATGTACTTCTTAGCTACTTCAAAAGGGAAGGGGTGCTGCTGTTCAAAGGGCATGCCAGCTGTAATAATGTCACTATTATGGTCTTGCAGGGATACAAGTTAGCTAAATCACCTTAGTTTGACCCTGAATGAAGCAGGCTTAAAGTTGGAGCCAAGTTGTTACATTTCAGTTATTACAGATAATGCAGATGTAGCAGCCGCACACTAGCTTCCTTTGACACTGACACAATTGCTATATTCATCTATACTGACCCTCTATGGCTATGGTATTCAACCTGCGGGTCCACAGACTATGTCTAAGGGGTCCACAAAAGATGACTATGATCAATCAAAAGTGTGCGAATACTCACACTTATAATTCAAAGGGGTCTGTACCTCCAATCAACATTTTGTAGGGGGTCTACAAATGAAAAGAGGTTGAAAACCACTAGTCTATGGCATCAAGTAAGTAAGAACATGAGAGGGTGAAGAATTATGTCCAGCTGACTGACTTGCATATGTTCAAGTGGACATTCTCTATCAGCACAAGAGATGGATATTTCTTTTGTGGAAGGAGCTGTGTTAGGATTTGAGCCTGTATTAAGAAGCTTGTGTAGCTTGAGATAAACTACTCCATCTCTTATCAGATTGTGAAAACTTAGAATATACTGCAATTTTCTGAATGTCACGAGCATAAGACAAAGCAATACTTTCCAACCTTGGCTGTGAATTTGACAGGTATTAAAACACTCCTGAATCAAATGTGAGAAAGCAACTTTCTCTCCCCTTAATTTCTGGCTGGTGTTAAAGGAGGATAAGGGTACAGAAGCTTTTTTACCCAAGATGAAAGGAGAAACCACTTTAGGAAGACATAGGGAGCAGCATTAATCATTAACTGGTTCAGGTGAATGTCTAGGCAGGAATCCTTGGATAAGAGCCTAATTCTCCTCCTATGCTCTCTTGACAGTTAGAAGAGAAACGAAGAGGAAGGTCCTCAAGCTTCCAGGACCTGTAAGCTAATTAACTATTGGTCCAACTACCAGAGGGAAGTGGTGCACAACTGCTTTTCACTGGGTTCCTCTGACAGGAAAAGTAGTAAGAGGCATAATTTGTGTAGATATGTAACATCCAGGTCTCAGGATGGTGAACTACATGGTAAATAAACTAAAAAAACCCCCATAAACTGAAGGAGAGCAGATTTAAATTGGACATCAGGAAAAAATTCTTTATGGTGAGGGTCGCCAAAATATGGAATGGGCTTCCAAGGGAGGTGGTGTTTTCCCCTACCTTGGCGGCGTTTAAAGGGAGATTAGAGAGCACCTGGCTGGAGTTACCTGACCCCAGCACTCTTTCCTGCCCAGAGCAGGGGGGTCAGACTCGATGATCTAATAGGTCCTTTCTGACCCTAGAAATCTATAAATCTCTAATTTGTGAGCACTCTACTGGGAAGGCCTGTCCTGCTAGAAATCATAAAGCATGTGGTATCTCATATCCTATGGGGGCCACTCTAGCATGACAGTTATGCCCTGTTCAACTGAAGCAACTAAGGGTGACCCTTTGTGGATACTGTCATCCTGTAATCAACACAAGAGAAGGAAAGGAGGGAGCAGGGGAGTCAACTTACCCTCAAAGGACAAGGACAGGTCAGACAGAGAGCTTTGACTGAGGAAATGACTGCCTGAGCAGCTAACAGCAGAAACCATTAATATTTGATCAGAGCAGGAAACCCAACCTTGCCATCACAAACATTAAAAAAATGCAGACTACATCCAACTCTGACTGGAACTGGGTTGGCCCTCTGTTCCTAGGTGAAATGGGACTGCTGAAAAGAGAGTAAGGGGTATTTTCCCTTTGACATGTAGCACTTGGCCTCCAGAACTCCATATATGCTGCTACATTTGGTGGCGAGAACAATTCTTAGGAGCCAAAGTTGGTTAAAGCAGCCATCACTTGTCCCTCACTGCCAACATACAACCCCAGTGGGGCTCTAGAGCTCTGGTATCAGCAGCAGGCCCTGCATCCACTCATGCTGCAGGCCAAGTGACATGGCTCCATGGGCCAGATCTAGCCTTCAGGCTGTATGTTTGACACCCCTGACATGGAAAATCATGTGTTTAAAGTAAAAGAGGAAGGATTGCTCAGTGGTTAGAGCACAGGTCTAGGATTTGGAAGACCTATATCCAAGTTTCTCCTCTGGCTTCCTGTAGGACTTCAGAGAAAGACTCAGTGATTTGTCCCTCTGAGCTCCTCATGTTTAAAAAAAAAAAACACAGGGATGTTGCAGAGATAAATATACTAAAGATTGGGAAGTGCTTAAATACTATAGTAATGGTGGCCATTTAGGTGTCTTAGAAAGAGAGAAAGAGACACACCAAGTGTGGGATTTTAGTTGCTCATCTTTCTCAAGTCCTTACACAGTGAGGTCCAATATCTTAACAGAATCTATGTTTTATGGAAAAAGTAAATATTCTCTGACTTAAAACTGTTCCCTGCAACAATTGTGTTATGTAAAAGGGAACACTTAAATGCCTATATCATCCTTCAAAAAGACAAGTACATAATAAATTAATATGATGGATGTGTTATTAAATTTAATATATTTATATGCATTCAATACCTGTATACAGGGTCACATAATAAATGCTGAAACATATATGAAAAATATTTTAAATCTGTTACAGAGAAAAATTTATCTTTGTATAATCTAATCTTGTTTAAAATGATGAATCGGTGCTTTAACAAAATAGCACATTAGAAACTTCTTACACAGTCAATAAGCTGAGTTGTACAACTTGTACAAATTTAATATTTTTGGCAAGAAACTGACCACCAAACAATAAAGTTCAGTTACAAAGGTGACGGACTGAAAAAAAACTAGTACAAAGTGTAAGTATGTAGGGCTTTCTGAAGCAGTGACTACCTGGCCAATGTAGCATGTCACAAACATTAGGAATAACACTGTTAGACCTGATTTTCCCATTCTGTTTTGTAATTTTGTGCATTTGTGACTATTTTAACCT